TGTTTTAATAAAACATTTTCTACAGTAACGAGTGGGCTGGGTTTTGTTCCCTGAGTGCAGTGTGTCAACTATACCTGCTGTCTGGTGCATATGTTGAAAATAGGTGTAGGCTGCACTAGTGTGTAGGATAAAAAGTTATAATAAAGAAAGAAGGGAAAGCAAAAGGTAATAATGGATGTGGAGGGAAGTATAGAGGCAGGATGGGGAAAAGGAAGGCAGGGCATATAAGTGAAGTAAAACGTGAACATACACTGAGTGGCCAGATTATTATGTTCTCTGAATGCATAATAATCTGGCCACTCAGTGTATGTATGTATGTGTGTATATTAGAGGACCAGTGCATGAATTCATGCATGGGTGGGGTCTGGCCAGCCTGGCCAGGGGGAAGGGATATGGGCGGTTCGAACTCCTGGTCAAGGGGACAATTTGCATATTAGCCTTTTATTATATAGGATATACACTGAGTGGCCAGATTATTATGCATTCAGAGATCATCATAATCTGGTCACTCAGTGTGGAGTGATAAGGAAGTATGGGGGGTGTGTGCATTTAATGGGACTATCTCTAATAAGAACATGTGTTGGGAAGCATTGATGGCAATAATAGTTTTAGAAAATATAATTTTAGGCAGATTAAGAGTATGATGTAAAGCCTTAATATCAGTTACTTTTCCTAGGCATCAGGATTTAGGCACCATATACATTTCCTTACATGTATTCTCAAGTGTAAGTTTCGATCTGCTACAACTTACCACTTCTTCTGGTATCCTGTTGGTGAAGACATTTGCTAGTACTACATTTCATGAGTTTTTATTTTTTTTATTGGAACATTAGTCCAGAGGGATTTAGAGCTGTTCATGATAGAAGCTTCAGCTTCACATTTTGAAAGTTGAGTAGCTTTTCCAAAAATGACTAATTTAATTTCATAGCTGATGTATCTAGCAGAAACTGCTTTTTTTGGTGTTATGGTTTGAATACAGATTGGTGTCTTGTGAGTAAAGGCTAATCAGAGGAATAGGAAAAGTACTTAAAATGAGCTTATGAACCACATAATTCTAAAACTAGATTGTTGTAATAAAATATATTTTTTGTAATAATTTTTGACTTAGAAAGTTTCATTTATTTTTATCTACATCTCTTAGAGCGTATCTATTAGAAATATCTATTTTCTGAAATTTTGCAATAAGAAAGGGGGAAAGCCTACTTTTTCTAAAAATCCAAATTTTAGAATGGAGTCATATAGATTTTTATTTTTTTCAAAATATGAAATTATACAACCTTTATAGAATGTTATAAAAACACATACAATTTGACAGTTGAGATTTATATTATGAATACCATGAAAAAAGTCACTATATGTTAAAAATGAAGTTAGCCATTTTGAAGTAAAAAACAATGCATACATTTTTTATTGCTCACATCAAGGATTGTCTTTTGAAACTATAATTTAAAATCAATTTGAAATTATAATGTAATTTGTGGACATGTGATAGTGGTTATTATAATCCTAATTCTCATTAAAATCTGTATTTTAAAAGATGAACATACTTTTCCATCTAGGGAAAAAGTAATTTTACTATTCTAATATTGTTATTTCAGAACGTTTGACAGTAGTGCAACTTACTTTAGATTCTTCTTTTTGATAGGAATTATCCAGTGGGTAGTGGCTAAAGAAATCCCACTTACCTCTTTTCTGATTTTAGTTACTCTGTTCTCAGCTTGCCTGTTCACTCTGTGTGTATGTTTCATGGACAAATGCATTAAGGGGAGAGTTCTTTTTCTAATGTTTTATGTTTAATTTCTGCTCTATTTATTCTTGTTCACACCCTGAAATTCAAACTGCCTTCTGCATTCTTTCTCAACAGTCTCTTCTTTTCTTTTCACTTTTCCCCGTTTCTTATTGCCTTTCCTTCTTGCTCCTTTGCTGCATACACTTTTTATTTGTCCTAGTGTCACTGTTTTGCATTCTCTCAACATGGTGCTTTCACTTCTTTTACCCATTAAAATAAAGGAATTCCTAGCCAATTCCTTTTTAAGACTAAACAAACAAACAAACAAACAAACAAACAAACAAAAAACCTTTTTCTAGACATTTTTGGAGAAGTGTAGATGCCTGCTCTCAAAGTTTTGCTTTAACTTAAAAGTGGAAAAATTCTTTTTAAAAAAAATATATATTTTATTGATTTTGTATAGAGCAGAAGGGAGAGAGATAGAGAGCTAGAAACATCGATGAGAGAGAGTCATCGATCAGCTGCCTCCTGCACACCCCCCAATGGGGATATGCCCGCAACCAAGGTACATGCCCTTGACCGGAATCGAACCCGGGTCCCTTCAGTCCCCAAGCCGACGCTCTATCCACTGAGCCAAACCGGTCTCGGCTAAAAGTGGAAAAATTCTTATCTTTTAGAAGAAATATTTGCAATAGTACATCTATTATGTATTATGGGTCACTGTCTCTCTATTTTTTTTTATTGTCTGAAGTTTTACATATGTCTTAGGGTCACTGTCTCTTGATGGCACTGTCAACATTGAACAGATAATTTATAATGCATAATATGTTAACAAATGTATATTATTCAAATAAAGTAATGGTGATGCTCACCATTAGATTTAGCAAAACAGCTGCATTTTGTCCTTGCCCCCAAACAGGATTATTTAATTTGCCAAATTAAATAATGTTTAGTGAAAATGTTAATTTGACAATAAATCACAGTTCTAAATGCCAAATGCCCAGCTTAATGTTGTTGAGGAAGTTGTTCAGAGAATACAAAGTGTGGCTTACTGTTGCTGAGTGTCCAGCTTCACAGATGAAGCATGGTGCCTGGTGTTAATGGGGTTAAGGCCCCCCAGTGCTGGAACTGTGCTGTGGATTATACCTACACTGCTCAGAGTCCCCCACCCTCCTCTGCCCGTATTAGCAATCTGCTTTTGTACTTTGACATCCAGGATTTCCCTAGTGAATTTTGTCGCAGAAAAAAGAGAATCATCAATATCACAGTTAAACTTGACTTTCAAAGCTAATAGTATCTCATTTGGGGGCTCAAATTTAATAAATTTTCTTTGATTCTGGGTGAGTTTTTAAACATCAAACAATGAATTGGCCTGGGTGCAGTAAAATATTTAGATCTATTGACTATGGTTCAGAAGGGTAGAAGGCAAAACACCAGTGGTTTGATGCTGATAAATTCTCAGTACCTTAATCCACATTAATGTTTTCTTTTATCTGAGTGCACATTGGTGACAAAAAGAAAAGCGCGAGAAGTATCCATACATATAAAATATAAACCTAAGACAAATATATTTTAAAAATATGATATATTCTGTTATATTAAATAAGTGCAATAACATGCTCATTCTGACTGAAGACTGGAGAATGTTTGTTACAGATAAAAATATATTCTGAACTGGGACTGTAGTGTGCATATAGTCCTCACACTGTTATAAAAGTCGCCTTATAGTGTATATGTCACAGCATACACACTGACAAAAGTTCTTCAGATCAACTTGGCAGAATATGGGATTTATATCCATCAGTTAGTATGAACAATTAAAGATGTCATCATGTTTACGTATTTGCTGGTTTAAGGAAACTCTACCTAGTATGATAGTTCATTTATAAAATAAGAAATGATTCAACAGTTTTATAAGCTGCTCATGTAGAATGGAAAAATAAAGGACATGTTTTCTATCATATACAGTGTGGTGCAAATGTAGGTTTATAGTTATTCGTATGGAAAATAATACAACAATTAATAAATAATAATAATAGAATAAACTGTGTTTCATGTGCTCACAACTGTAAACCTACTTTTGCCCCACTCTGTATTGCCAAGTTGCATTTGAAGTTGCTCAGGTAAAAGTAGAGATTACATACTAGTATCTGACGATTAATGTTATTTGTATACTTCTCTCCCTCTTTACCTTTGCTAAAAAGGCCATAAAAACTCTTTTTATCCTGTGACTCTAAGCTAGTTGTATAACATTTATCAAATGTATGGCAGGATAGAGATAACATTTTAAAACTAATTCAGGCATAAGGAAAGTTAGAAAATTTGCCTAAATATAAAAACTCCTATCATTAATCTATAAGAGCTTACTGATCTTAAAAGTACACTAAACTGTGGAATTCTTAAGGCTTTTACAAAGTTTGGAAATTAAAAGTGAAAGTTATGTTTCTGAATGTTTTCTAATATCTAGTATCTATTTGTATTGTATCGGGAGTATTTTCTCATTTGTCCAGAAGGTGGCAGTGTAACATCAACTGCATGTGATTCCTATACTGACCAGAGAATTTGTATTTCTTATGTATCTGTGAAATGTTTGTATTGTTACCTTTCTGAACACTTAAAAAACGGTACACATTCTACTGATTCTATCCATTACCTTACTTAGAAGTTGCATGATCGAGTTGGTTTATGTGTATTTAATTGATAACAGTCAAGTTTATGAGAGTAAAAAGGGCAAACGAAACCTCTTACTGGTATATTTTTAAGTATCCTTCTTTGTTGAGTGCATTTGTTTTTTTTTTCCCCAGGGTACATATTATTGAAGTTTTTTCCCAAAGACTAACACCTAAAAATTATCTTGTCCAATATATATCAGTTAATACCAGCTAAATTAAACATGTTATTAAGAAAGTTGTAATAATTAGGAGATTACTGTTTGTTTTTGATTTTGTGCCCCCCCCCCCCCCCTTTCCTTTTTCTTTCCAGGGAGGAACCGTGAAAAATAATTCAAAACCTCTTGATCAGAAGAGCTCTAGTGACTCTTCTTCCCTCCCTCATTTCAAGCAGGAGGATGCTTTTTCTTCTTCACATTCTCCCCCAGCACTCTGAATTAGAGATTTATTTGCAACGAAAAATCAATTAGTCCTAAATTTATTCATGGATTTCAGGTCCAGCGATCAATGCAAGTCCACTCAGTGGGCTCAAGGGGACCCAGTTCATCCCAGTTAATGTGTCTGAAGGGGAATTACCATTGATGCTGTTTTTTTCCCTTTAGGTCAGAGATCAGATCTCGCTGTCACGGACTGCGGCAAGTAGGAATGACTTCACCCTGCAGCTCCCCAAACTGCACCTGGAGACCTTTGCGATGGAGGGGCTCAAGGGCGGGCCAGAGGTTGTAGCGTGCCAGGTTAGAGTCTAAATAACATTGTTTGCTACTGAGACGTGTAGAAAAATAAAATGTAGTAACTGGGGAGAATGAAAACCACAAAGTATTGTGAACAACACAATGGAGATGCAAATAATTTTTCTTCCATCATGTAACACTATATTTCACAAATATTTTTTTTCTTGAAAGCCTTGATCCAGCCTGTTAAATAATCTCAAAAAGTATTTTTGTTTTTACCAAGGAAAATATGTCTTTTATAGCTAAGTAAGTTTTAAAAAATTACTTAAAAAAATTTTTTTTTTTTATCAGCAGAGGACAATAAGATACTAGGCTGTTATTTTTTTAAGCTAATCACAATTTGTAGCTCTTCATGTTTTAAAACAAATCACTTTAGATAAAATTATCAGGAGATATTTGAAAATTCTCAGTTAATTCCAAAGTATATCCAATATTTCTTACATGGGAATTTATTTAATTTCAGCAAGTCTAGAACTGTGCTTGGCAATATAGAGTATTTTGCCCTTTAATGTTTAGTTTTAATGAACATTATATGTACAAACTGGGTTATTTCATTTTATGGAACTCAAAGCACCAAATTATAAAATCTCAAATAATTTAAGAAAAAACTTAATAAAGAAAATTATTTTCAAAAACATAATTCTTTTCAGATGTTACATGTATCTTTCCATTCTAGGTTACTATTGTGTTATTTTAATGAAACAAAACAAAATTTAATATTTGCTTTATTCTCCTTAAAATATCTAGTGCCTTTACTAGAAAAATGTATGAACATTATTTAAACCACAGGGAGCCTGATGTATCAGAAGAGGTTGTCCTTGTTTAAAAGCATTTTAGGTGTTTGTTTTTTTTATTGTATTTAAAAGACAAATATCTTAAAACTCAGTCTGTCTTTCACATTTTGAGGTTTGAAATTAACTTCCATTCTTCAGTTTATGGTTCTGTGAAATTTTAATTTTGTACAAAATTAGTGTCAGTCCAAGTGGTGCTATAATAATTTTTTCTACATGTTCCATACCCTGATTTAATTTGTTACTAATACTCAAATTAATGCCTTACAAAGAAAAAATAAGCACCAGTTGTTTCTTTCATTAGATTGTCGATCAGTATTTTTAAATATGTGTAATTGTAAAACTAAGCGTAAAATATTCTTATTTTCAGATATAGGCCACAATATTATTATTTAATACAAGATAAAGATGTACATTTTAAATTTGACTATCATTACTTATGAAATCACTGTAACCCTGAGCACAGTATGATTTGAGATTTTTCTAGTGGTTATAAAATAATCCTTTACTTGGCTGTCTTGATTCAGACACTTATAAGGTTTAATACTTTTCATAATTCAAAAATAAAGACTTCCCCCAAACTCTGGATTTGGGTGATTTGGAAAGAGACTGATTCCTTGGGATGCTATTTTTGGGCAAACCATGAACTCTCTGTGGTTTTGACATTTGTGAATAGCAAGAAGGAAATGTATAGACCCATATGCTAAACTATGATTTTTTCCAAGTTCTAATAAAAATAGTTAGGCACGTTACCATATACCTAAGCACGTGGGCGAGTTTTGCATTGCCATGCTGTAATACACATTATGGTTTAGTAATAATATATTTTGGTTTAGTATTCCACACAGAGAAGAACAGATGACTTGGGCCATAATAGTGTTTCACACATACACACAGACACCCACACCCACACCTGCCCGCACACACATAGTTGGCGATGCGCTTTGAATACTTTGAGAAGGAAGGCACTAGATTAACTGACAACCTTAATTGAAATAATAGTACCATTTTAATGAGCACGTACTGTGCACGTACGATGCACTCACAATGAACATGTCAAGTAGATGGAATTATCTCCATTTTAGAGTGTAGGTAGCTCTCCTAAAACCAACAGCAAGTAGACAGCAAGGCACAGAGCCTGGATGTAAGTCTAAGGTGTGTTTGACTGCAGAGCCTTTACTGATAAAAATCTGGCACTAAGAAATCTAGACACCTGTGTTAATGGTAAGAGCGACATTTTTTATATCCATAGTGGAGTTTTTCTTACATTTTACAAAAATGTTCAGTCTGCATCTTTGTATGCTGTACTGTAGACAAATTCACAGATAAAAGATTTTGTTTTCATTTGACAGGCTAATATTATGGAACTCTACTTTTTACCTTCTTACCGTATGTAAATGTGTATATTTCTGCCAAGTGCAGCTGCATATTCAGGAATTCAGTGCTTGTTTAGTTTTGTACTCAGTGCCGGTGGAGTGAGTGTTCAGTGAGTGCATGCCCTTTGGTTATGACGAGGAGGGCATCACTCTGCAGGCCGTGGCAGTGTGAGGACCGTTTGGCCAACCTGCACCGCCCTCATTCAGAGCGATGAGTGCTGAAGTTTTCCTAGACAGCCCTGCCTGTCTTTTTCCAGCAGGAAAGCTTCATTATGGGTATAATTCTGTACAGAAGGGAGGCCAGTGAGCATGATTGAGAGGTGAAGAGAACGAGGGGACTATCTTTTCATCTCTGGACACAGAAGAACATGTGACCTGAGGCTCTCCTTCAAGAGAAAATTCAGTTCAAGTAGTCTCTGAGATCTGCAAGCTTTTAGTATCAGTTTCCTTCTCTGTAAAAAAAAAGTGTAATGATACTCATTTCTATTAAAAAAAAAAGTATTATCCTACCTGTTCTCAGGCTTGTAGTGGGATCGAACGAGGCAGTGCATGTACATAGAGAGCCAGTGCCTCGCACAAGGGAAGCAGGCACTGCATGGTGGCTGTTCTTTGTGCAGCCATGCTGGGACCCCTGTGAACATCAAATAAGCAAGAGTAGCTGGTTTCCTTTCCTTTGAAGAGGCATGTGGTGTGTTTTACTTTGAGGAATGCTTCTCTAGGATCTTTCTCTACATCTTTCCATTTGGTTCTGTTAGTCTCCCTTGTTTCTTCAAAAGCTTGAAATAAAATTGATCAAGATCAGTGTTATTTCCCTACTTACTTTTCCATGTTACTAGACGTTCCATGGAGGCAAGATGGCCACTAAAACGCTTTGCCTGAGCTTCTATGGAAAGCTTCTATGGTCTTATCTCCCAGGTAACAGCATATCCATCTTCCGGAGCATGGGGAAAAGGAGCTGTGGCGGGAAAGTCCGGTGTAGTGCGAACGCAGAGGACGTCTTAACAGAAGCATTGTGCCATGCTGTCTAAAGATAACAACCTGTTACTCATTATCTTATACTTTGAGTTTTGTGTTTTTAAGTAACTGTTATGTAATAATTTAATATCGGGCAAATATTAGCAAGCATGCCATACATGTTTGTGTCACCATTCTCATTCAATAATAAGCCAGAAACAGTATTAATAGCTAACATTTGTTGGGTGCTTATTCTCTACCAGTTAACTGTGCTAAGCACCTTACATAGACTGTCTCATTTAATACCTGCAGCAACCTTACGAATAATAGGGGCTCTGCTGTTATCCATTTCATAAAGAAAGAAGCACAGTTTATTGAGATGAAGTAAATTGCTAAAGGTCACATATCCAGTGAGTAGGGTAACATGCCTTTCTGCCTTTTGTCAACCATTGCTTAGGCTTACTGTTTTGTGTGTGTGTGTGTGTGTGTGTGTGTGTGTGTTTTCTGAGAGAGAGAGAGAGGAGGAAGGAGAAAGGGAGAGTGTGATCATGGCTGAGAGGGAAAGAGTAAAGGCAGGGTCTGTCTGTAGAGTACAATTTCATTTGTGTGGAAATAGAGGAGCGGTTAACTGGGAAAGTTACTTAAACTGCTCATTTGGCCTCTTCATCTGTAAAGATGCGGTAAAGAAGGTTTCTGACTCTGTTCGTGAGACTGGCGAGTGAATGGGTTAGTACATCTGAAGTGCTTAGAATGGTGACAGGCACGCTGTAAACACTCAGTGTTTATCTGTCAGCTGTCCCCTCCCGCGAAAGCTCCGCAGAACGGGGACGCGGGGCTGCTCACGGCCACGTCCTCGGAGCTCGGCTGCGCACAGGCGGCCCAGCAGGCGGGAGGAAGCCTTCATTTCAGACACCGGGCAGGTTGGCGCAGGAAGCTGTTTCGCCGAAGTCGAGAGACTTGGTATCAGTTTTTCATTTCTGGGCCTGTTCATTTGGAAAGAAAAAGCTCCCCGAACCGTCTCATAAAAGGCGTTAGAGGCTTAGTGCAGAATCACGCTACCTCTGGAAACAGTACACTTTACAAATATGTGTTTATAAACACTTCATTAGAGAGGCTTCATTGTGAAACCACTTATTTATGAGGATTCTAAACAACAGAGTCCTCACCATAATAAATACAGTAATCCCTTAATCGCCTCTAACCCACCATGTCATTATAGAGTCCTTATTTGGTATGGCTTTTTTTTTGTTGTTACCACGACTTTAGGGATACCATAGTTGTTGTTTTTTTTGTTTTTTTTTTTTTTTACACGAATACTTATTTTCCAGGCATAGAAATGACTTCCAGAGAGTTTGTTGTATTTATAAAGTTAAACCAAAAAGAGCATCTTGAGGGGAATTTTGTTCTTACCTTTTATATGTAAAAGAAATAAATAATTATCTGTTCCTAAACTGTCAGGGAATAAAAACATCAAGACTCACTCTTGGTAATTTTTTACATGTGTTCTCTGCTACTTAGCGTAGCAGTCTTCTGATTCTGTACAAGAAATTTCTCCTCTTCTGGCAGAGTTGGAAATTACAGAGATGCTAGTCAATTTTACTTGAAAGATTGGGTTGTTTAGATATTTTCTCCTTCATGTTATCTCAACAATATAAGTGAATTTTCAGATACCTGATTATTTTTTAAAATGGGAAAATCAGCCATTTTGAATGGCAATCTTGCTAAATATGTCAAATGCTGTTTTTTTTTTTTTTTTTTTTTAAAAGAATATATACTGAAATTAAAATTTTATTATGCTGGTTCATTATTAGAGGTATAAACTGTAATAATATCACAGTAGTATAAATTGCTCAGCTGTGCAATGGCATTTGCCTTTAAACAC